TTTCCCTGCCTCTCCATTCATCTTCGAAGCCTCCACATAATGATGACTAGGCTATCTGGCATATAGCAGATGCCCACGTATTTTTGGATATGAATTGCAAAGGAGCACTTAGCTAAAAATGGTCTCTTTTATAGCAGGCATACTTCCTCTGCCACCACCGTCAAAAATGCTATTTACAAAGTCATTCCAGACAGCTCCCCCACTCCTGTTTTAATTGTTGGCTTCAAGGGGCATTAACAGTGGGAAGAGTAGGGTGAATAAGATTCTCTGCATGTGGAGTTTGCAACTGTACTTAGATCTAAAACTGTGACTCTAGGAACAGACCCGTTAGCTCCCAATACACTCACCAAGAGCAGCACCCTGCTAAAAAGCAGCTGAGGATGGGACCAGCAGTTAGCCTAATGGCTATGTTGCTGGACTCCCATGTAGTCGACCGCGGTTTGAGTCCCGGACCCGGTGGCTTGGACTCACGCTGGGCACGTGTGCGTGCGTGCCCAAGATCCTGAGAGGAGAATGGAGGAGAAGGGATTGCGGTGTGGTCATCCCCCTGGCGGGGGGGGATTTCTTGCTTTCTGTCTCTCTGTCTCTCTCTGTCTTTCTGGTGAGCACACATGCTCTATAGCAAAAACCTCTCCAAAAAAAAAAAAAAAGCAGCTGAGTAGTGTTGGGCCAATTTGAGAGAAGTAAAAGCACCCCAGGCAGTCCCTGGTGATTCTAGGAAGACACGGGCAGTGCTGGGATGACCACTGGAAAGTCCACAATCACTTCTCTCCCTCGGATTGACCAACTCCTCCTTACAGGAGGACTTCTCTGACTCCATCTTCCGTAGTCTTTTCGTTTCTTGTTTTGAGTATCATGCATACATGTGATTCAATAGTCAAAACAGTAGAGGAGGGTATACATCAGGAAGTCTTTCTCCCATTCCTGTCCCCGTCTTTCTTTTCACCCCCTGAAGGTAATTGCTTTTATTGCTTCGTTGTTCCTTCCAGAATTTATTTTTTTCTATAGACACAAACAAAAATGAATATATATTATTATTTTATTCTCTTTTCTTAAAATGTAAGTCTGTGTACTATGTGTCTGTGTGCGTGTGTGTGTGCATGTGTGTGTGTGTCCATATGTGTGTCCGTGTGTGTGTCCGTGCATGTGTGTGTGTGTGTGTGTGTGTGTGTGAACCTTGCTTTTTAAACCTAACAGAATATTCTCAATGTCTTTCCATGTCAGTATACAGAGAGCTTTCTTCATCTTTATTACGGGAGCACAATACCTGCTGGAAGATTTTCCATAGTTTATGTAATTATTTCTTTCCAACAGATGTTGGTAACCCTCAGCCTTAAACAGTTGCCAGCTTCTGTATTTACTGTGCTGTTTCATAAAAATATTTGTAACTTCCGAGTCTCCCCCAAAAGCTGATAGTAGAGGCTGTGTTTTATTTATATTTCTATCACTGCACCCAAGAAATACTGGAGGTACAAGACTTAAAAAAATAAAAATTAAAAGAAAAAAACAGACAAACAAACATGATCCCTTCTCTCATGAAGGGCCTTCCAACATGGGAGGAGAAAGATCATGGTTTTTAGAATGCAGACCAATAAATACTGGATTCCAATCACGGTAAATTACAGAAAGGAAAGTACAGGAACTTATTAGAGCTGAGTAGAAATAGATCTTTGAGTCTAGTGTGAACAATGTCAAGAAAGACTCCTGCACAAGGTTGGTATTTAAACTGAGGCTAAGACGAGGAGGGGCAGATAACTAGAGGTGGAGAGGAAGGATGGGCGGATATCATAGACAGAAGAGAGAGTATCTGCAAAGGCCCAGAGCTGAAGGGAACACCAGGCACATAGGGAAGGGGAGGAGACCAATGTGGCTGAGCCTAGAGCCTGATACATGCTGAGGCTGCAGACGTAGACAGACGGCAGGACAGAGTACCATGCTAGAGGCTCTTTGTCCAAAAACTAATTGGAACTCAGTGAGAGGCCATGACAAGCTTTGAAGCAGGGGAGGAATTAACAATCTGATTAATATTCTAAAACAATATTAACTCTGGCCACCAAACAGAATAGACTGGAGGCTAAGAGTCTAGAACTTGGATAGGTATTGACAATGATGGGGAAGAGTGGGCAGATTTGCAGGACCTTTATAAACCAAAGTGGACAGGCCCAGTGATGAACTGGCCATAAAGTGTCACCATTGACTTCCAGGATGCTAGATGGAGAAATAGATTGGATGGTGGCCCTTTTGCTGATACCAGGATTCCTGGAAAGCATACGTTTGGAGGAAATGATCCGAGTCAGCTTTTGACATGTTGAAATTGAGGTCCTTTTGCAAAATTCAGGAGAAATCTCTAGGAATCAATTAGATATACAGCCTGGAGCTTAGAGGAGGGTTCCGAGTAGAAATATAGGAGCCTTTTATATGTAGATGATAAATGTGATGTTAGAAGGAGATTCCTTAGGGAGAAGAAAGAGAACGGGACCTGAAGAGGAGCTAAAATAAACCCTGGAGATCACCTACGATCAATGTGGAAGTAGAGGAGTTGTGAGCAACAGGCAAGGGAAAGGCAATCCAAGATAGAAAGAGGAAAAGCAAGAGGGTGTGGTCCACGGAATCTGAACAACATGTGCGAACTGATTAGTGAGCTCGCATGCAAGGTGCCTTACCCTTTTACCACCCAGACCCATTTTCCAAACATCAGTGCATTAGAATCTGCTGCTCTTTCACAAGGAGGCAAGTGTTCGGAGGCCTCCTTTTAATCTGTCCATCATTTTTGGTGTCCTTTGGAGCCAGAGGGCTCTGCTGAA